TTTTGAGCAAAAGTCACTGTTGCATAGTTCAAGTCATCAGAGCCCAGATTCTGTAAATGACAGCATTAAATGAAAAATACGTAAATAAGTATTTGAGACTAAACAGTCGGTAGTCGGACATAGTTTGACAGAAAACTGTATGTAACGTGTGTAAGGAAATAAAAAATATAGTTTGACATGATACTGAATCACGTTTACAGAAGTTAGTAGTGAAACTGTATTCACCTCTCTTGGTTGAGGATCTTCGTCTCCATCAGCTTTGTGAAAGAGATAATACATGTGGTCAGAGAATTGACAAGAACTGAAAGTCTTTTGGCAGAATGTTCTAATTCAGTGCCCGTTAAGAGTCTATAGGTTTCCATTAATGACCAGGCATCAGTTTTCCAGTTTCCATATCTGCCTGGTTGATTGCCAGTCAGGGTGTAACGGTCTACTACACTCATGGTTTGGTATAGACTTAGCTTTTGTTGTGACTGTTGGGTAAGTTTGTGTCAAATTGATTTGATAAAAAATGAAAACATTCAGAAATGTCTCATCACAACTAGGTTTTCACAGAAAAGAGATCCTTTATATGAATAAAGGTTCATAGGTCAGTGATCTGTAGTTTTTTTTGTTCCAGCTGCTCTGCGAGTTATAAAGACAGATCTGTTAGGTTGTTCCTGATGAACTAAATCGCCAGCTATACTTTTCCTACATTCAAAGTCAAAGCTTGAGCTCACTATTGGCTGATTTCTGGACCATTGATCGCTTTTTAAATATGATAAAGCAAGTAAAGGCTGTTTTGTTACAATGTGCTACCATGCTAAAAAATGTACTCAAATGTGATCTATTAGATTTTAAACAGTACCTCTGAGAAGTTTCTTGATTTTTACAGCCTGACCAATGATGGCCATCACAAGCAAAACAGTCAGACCACCCAGAATCACAACCATCAGGTTTGTATTTTCATCAGACTTTTCTGCAACAGAGATGAACAATCAGAGTAAATGTTCTCTTCCGTGGCTTGTGATCTCGCTGACATTTGAGGAAGTAAATGAAACTTTACTTTGAGACGTGCAGTCGTTGTCATCATCAGATTCAATTTTGCCTGAAGTGGAGAAAACAAGAAGTGAAGCTGTCACTAAAATCATATAAATATGTTTCTATTGTGACACTATCACAGAAGAAATGACCCCAAAAAGACATAATTTACAGTAAATGTTTCCTGGAGCATATAAATGAACTACTCTGACTTTTAAGCATGAATTTGTGTAAAATCCCCAATAAAACAGTCCAGACTCAGATAAATCCTCTGTTTAAATTTTAAGAAAGACGGTCGTAGTTTTGGAGCTCATTTATGATGATCCCTTTTGATATCCCTTGTACTGTGGAACATCGAAAAAAAGACACAAAGCCCTTTACAATAGTCTTACCTTGAACCTTTAAATATGTTGAACTGACCAATGCTGGGAGTCCATCTTTGTAACATCCACAGAAGTAGAGCCCAGAGTCAGATACATCCACACTTTTGATCTTCAGAAAGAGGTTTGTGGTGTTGGATGTCATTATAAAGTTCTCATTTTGAAATCCATCACAGAGTAAAGCTTTCGTATCAGAGTAGAACATAGACGAGATACAGCTGGTACTGGATCCACTGGTCATTCTGAACCAGAATAATGCATGAGAGGCAGAACTGGTAAAGTTGTTGCACATCAGTGTGACTTCTTGAGCAGGCTGAACCTCCACAGTGAGAAACTCAGAAACTGAGACAGAGATCCAACCTGAAGGAAACAAT